GTTGCTCAGACAAAAAAATCGAAAATATCCCCCGATTTGCTGTGTGAAACCAACTTGGGTAGGCTTAGGAATTAAACATAGTTGTTAAAAAGACCATAATCGGTTAACGTTGCCACTAGCTCTCTGCGTTGCGCTCGGACAAAAAAAATCGAAAAAACACCATACACGAGTTCCTCCTCCACATTAAAGTAGTGTTGCGTACATGCGTACCTATATACGTAAAATCTCAAACTTTGAATAACTAACTTCCAAAATAATGGTTTTGGAAAATTCCAAAAAATTCAGTTTCGAAATCAGCATAAAAACCACACATTTTGAAAAAAAATTTAAAATCCTATAAAAGCATATAACCACCGCATTGGTACATTATATAATACAGCTATAATCTACCGATATTAAATACGGTTTTCTATAACTCTAATCTAAAAATAAACCTCAGTATTCAAAATGATACGGCCGATACTGGGAACAAAAATAAATATTGTATATAGCTAACTGGTATTTTTCTTGTAGAGGGGTTAAAAGTATTAAATTAGTCAATTTGCATTTTAAAATTATTTTCAATCTTCATCACACAAGGTTCAATACTTGAAAAATGGTCCTAGGGCCCCCATACATCAACAAAGGATAGGGCCTACCGGGAAAATCCCGAATTCCCAGTGGGCCTATCCGCCACTAGGCTAGGGGGCACATGGGGCCTGTACCCTCCCCATTAATTATAAAATTATTTCCTATTTTATTTATATATTTTTGTTTTTTATTTTTTATTTTACAGTCTCGTGAGAGCTTTTTCCTCGCGATTTCGTATCGTGTCTAACCGCCTGAAAACTTTACCGTTCGTAGTACGAGGTATCGGTACCTTCCCTTGCTAATTATTCTATAATATTTCACTATACTTGTCATTATTTATAACATGATTATCACTACTACTCCTAGTACTACACACACTATATATATATACTTGATTTCGTATCTTTCTTGAATACATACAATTGCTTTTTTTATCATTTTCATTATTACCATACTGTGCGTTGTTTACAATTATTGCTCGTTCACTTCCTGTTGTACTTACCGTAATCAACTGTCAACGGTTCGTCTGTAGTACTATTCATTACATAATCGGAATATATGGTTGTTATTCTTTCAATGTCATAACCTACTGTGCTAGTTCCGTAGCTGTAATCAATGTCACTTTTCATATCATTGACCTTATTCGACCTAGTTGTTGCGCCAGTGACATTCGGTTTTAATTTATCTTTGTGTACATTTTCCATATTTTCTATCTGAATAACCTCTACACAGTATTCCGATTCCATTTCGACTTGTTCATATGTGCCATTCCTACTTTTTACATGTATCGTACATGATTTTTTTCAAAAAGTGTATATTCTTATTGAAAATTATACTATCATGAGCCATAGTTGCTTCATAGGAGGAGCTACATATAGTTTGTAATGATTATATATCACATTCATTATTTCGAAATTGTGGCACAATTATTATGTCGGACTGATTATATTTCATTCGTACCGTATTTCCCTCTTAACCAGTTTGTTCTTATAAAATACCTTTATTCTGACATCCTTTCGATATCCATATTCTCTTGGCCTTTCACTATTCCAATTGTTATTGTCCGACACAACCTCTGATATACATACATACTGCTATCACATTTTAATTTAAATCGCTCACATCCCACTTCGATTTCTATTATATCCGTATTCATACTACATTTATTTTCGTTCATTATTACTATAGGGTATTTTATATTTTATATATGTATATTATTACGCTCTACTACTATCTTACAATTCTATTCTCGTTTTATTTATACATATTATAATTTATTTATTCGAGATGTATTTAATCATTTTCTTCGTTGTTTTTATCGACGTTTTCGTAATATTTTTTCACGTAATTTTTATGTACCGTTATTTGTTTACGATTTCACAATATAACTACATTTTCCGAATCTAATACCTCCAAAATTTCGTATGGTCCCTTCCAAAGTGGACTTAGCTTATTTCTTTGAGTATGATCTTTAAGTAAAATCATACATATCCTTAACTTTTAATTCTTCCGTTTCGACTTTTTTATCGTAATATAGTTTATTTACTTCTTTATTTTTAATTAATCGTTCCCGTGCAATTTGGTTTGCTTTTTGTAACTTTTTTTTAAATATTATACGTAATCATCATAATTATACCTATAGGTTCTGGAGTAGATTTTAATTTAACCAGAATATTAATGTCCCTACCATAAACTAGCTTGTAGGGTAGGTATTTTGTGAACGTGTATGTTCCGTAGAATTGTGTACAAACATTGCGTAAGTTAATAGCTCATCCCAATTGTCTAACTTTTAGTGTCTTGTCGGATGATAACCGGAAGTCTTAAACTTATTAATATCTCGTCGGGATCTCGTGGATACAGACAAAATTTGTTACGAACGCTTTTGCTGCCACATTTGCCGTGTGACAAACTCCTACAGTAGGTTTCACGAAACTAGCGACTCCGCAGTGGCGCTCACAGTGGCGAAATTTCGGTGTTCCGCGGGTTCTCAAACTTGCACACAATACGCGGCAATTTGGAATACTGCATGGTTTTTAAAAAATTTGAATACAAATTATTATTTTATTTATTGTACATTATATTTTATTATACATTATATTATTTACTATAATATAATAAAATATACATTTTCTTTTGATACTTAACATTAATATTTACAATAATTATAACACATTTTAATATTCTAACATTTATATTTACAATTGAAGTGATTCATCGTCGTCATCCTCGCTTTCGCTGCTGTCGTCCGGGTTAATCGTCAAAACTATTGGCTCTAAAATCTGGTCCCTGAATCCTTCTTTAATATAGTCTTCATTTTGAAGACGTTCACAATGATCAACACTAGAACATTAGAACTACTCCTAGATTAAACTTCGTTAAGTCACATTGCATTGCAAGTATATAGTTGTTTCCTAAACCTGTTGTAACTAACGGCCCGCGGCCCCACAATGTCTCAAAATATTTTTTCAAACGGTTTTGTACTTGTCGTGGTGATAACCATAGGATATTGAATATGTTTATTAGTATTCTTATTCATTTGACAAGCTGAACATTTCTGTATAATATATTCCCTTACTTCCTGCTTCAAATTTGGCCAGTTAAATTTGTTTTTAATCTTTTTGACCGTCCTATTCAAGGCTCCATGCCCCACAAATCTGGACTTGTACATTTGCATAAAAATTACTAGTTTGTCTTCCTCACTAAATTCTAACTTGGTACAGATCATTATGTCTATACTTGTACTACGAAAAATGTACGTTATTATTGCTCTAATTTTAGTCCAATATAATCTAGTCTTGCCGTCCTAACTGGTTCATTGCTAATTTCGTTAACGTATGTTTTTCAAAAAAATGCTTAAGATTTAGTAACGGTATATATAGGTACATTTTCGTACGTTGCTAATTGTTTCTGCTTTGCTTCCGTAATTTAAAATATTATATATCTTTCACCACTTTTAAATTTTACAATGTCAACTAAATCTTTATTAGATTTTAATTTTTTATCTCGACCAAATCGCATTTTTAGTTCGTAATTAATACCTGATCTAAAATCATAATATTTTTCTATTTCGGATACAATACTATATTCTGACGGACTATTTATAAGATCGCCGTTTACTTCGGTAAAATGTTTATTACAAATTAATGTTGTTTCCAATTTTCGCATAAAATGTTCATAACTTTCGTCTTTAATTTCGCTAATATGGTCCTTAAGTATTGCAAATTTCCTACCATACAAATACGGTCGAAATGTTTTTAAGCCGAATATAATCGCTAAGCATCCTAGTTCTGTTGCTGAATAATTACATTCTACTCTATTTAAAGTCCTAGAACTGTAAGCTATTGGTAAACCAGATCCAACTTTACCTTGAGATAATATTGCACCTAACGCCTTCCCGCTGGCGTCGGTCGTAAGTATAAACTGTTTCGTAAAATCGGGATATTGTAAAATTGGTTCCGAACATAGTATTTCTTTTAATTTATCGAAAGCTTTTTGAGAGCTTTCATCCCAATTAAATTTTAAGTCCTTTCTTAATAATTTTACCATCGGATTAGCTATAGCACTTTAGTTTTCTATGAATTTTCTATAATACCCGCTAAGACCTAAAAAACTTTTTATCTGCTTAACATTTTTAGGTACCGGAAAGTTCATCACAGCCTCAATCTTCATTTTGTCGGGTGTTATGAATTCGTCGGAAATAACATTCCCGTTGTAAAAAATACATTTATCCGGTTCTATTTTCAGATTATGAATGAATAACCTTTCAAATACGTCAATCAACTTTTCGTTATGATACTGTAAGTTGTTCGCGAAAATTAATATATATCATCCAAGTATACTAAACATTTTATCACGAACTATTACATAGGACTGGACACTGTATAAAATAAGGTGGCTACAAAGTTGTGCGGTGGTCGTACGTTCGCTACGTAACTGCTCTCTAGTGGCATTATTTTGAATTGTACTGTTGTAAATTCTTTTATGTGTTAATTCGTACTGTCGTAGTGACTAATAGTGAATAGTCACTTTATAGTAATAACTGATCAAGAAAGCTATTGAAAGCCATTGATTTTTCATAGTTTCCTATGCTGATTATTGACGTAAGGAAAACCAAGGTTTTATAGTTTAAGGTGGAGGTTGATTGTACGATGCTTACAGTACTTACCTACTCATAATCTAATAAAATATTGATTCCATGCAACTGTAACTACTTAATTCCACTTTATTTGAATACCAAACAATGTGTGCATTAATTTTTTTAGTGTAATATATTTAAAAGTAAGTCAAATCAAAGGTATTTAATAACTAATATAGGTAACTAAATTTATGCCATTAAATTAGAACACATTATGATATTACTGTTGAATAAAAAGTGTGTTTAATTATTATTATATCGACTTTGTATATATGAATTATGTGTTTTAATTTTGATGAAGTTTTACCCTAATCTGCAGATGGATAAACATTTTGCATTTCGAAGGTCGTTGGGTCGAAGTAGAACGCTGATAGATTTGACTAACACGTTCTTGAAGCATAATTTTCTGAAGCACACAAAAATCAAGACCACTTTGCAACATCCCTGGATCAAAGAAGGCAATGTCAAAATGTCCACGGATGTGGCCATAGCAAACGAAACGATCACGGCCAGTATAAGCGAACCAATAGTAACAGAGACTTCATTGAGTATCTGCATTTCATTACCAGTTTCCGGAATACAAGAAATCAATTAGTACCGACAACGAGTTGTTCACAGCAGTTGTGGAGGAAAGCGAGGTTGTTGAACCTAAAACATTGAAACTGAAGAAATGATTTGTTGTATATCGTTGTCGTCATGCAAAAACTGACCACCTGCAAAAAGTGAAATAACATTATCAAATGTGTTATTTGAACCATATTATTGTACGGAAAAAATGACCAAGTTATATGATCAATATTTTTACGAGGTATAGAAAGACAGTTTTGACCAACTGCAGATTTCTAAACTATTTTCCTAGCAAAAAGTGATCAAGTTATTTAGTCATTTCTTGCATGTATACCAAAACGTTTGATATGCTCAGTTGGTCATTATATTATTAATAATTAATTATAATCACGATACTATTTTAGGAATCGTCGTGTAATTTTTTTTTAAATTAAAGAGGACATCACAGAGAAGGTTTAAGGCAAAAAATTAGTCCGATTAAGTTAATAAATAATTAGTTATTATTAATTAAAATAAACGTGTAAATTGTATATATATATTATTGTACATATTGTACTGCTAATAACCAAGGCAGGTATTGTGCGCTCGCGTCGACTGGCAACGTCTTTTATCGATTTTGATTGTTATTTTATTAAATGTTGATTTTTGGCTGGTTTAATCATTTGAAGCAGTAATTGATTGTACTACTTTCATTTTTAAAATGCCTAGACGAAAGTTAAACATTGGTCGATCTCAGAATGATGCCAAAAGAATGCGTGTAGGACGTGTGTTTCATAGTATCTATATTATAGTTTGTAAGTGTTTGGTCATATCATATTTATATGTATAAATATACCTATGTATCGTAAATATTATGTAAATTATATAATATGTTCAGGAGTTTGTGATAATGGTGTGTATATAATTGTTTGGATAAAATTACGTAAGTATGTACCTATATATGTCAACTTTATTATAATTAGGGCTTGGATTTCAATGCATTTGCATCTTTTTTTTGGGATATCTTACGCGATGCTTTCCAAGCTACAAATATGTTTCAAGTACTTCGCAATCCAACCATAATAATTTTTTGGGGCATTTTTTGACGGTTTTAATGCATTTTTTTAATTTTTTAGGACATTTTTGACCTATTTGTCGTATTATGACTTATTGGCAGACAACCGTCGATCATTTAAATTCCAAAAGATTAAAGAAATTCTTATTGTACAATGCAATGCAAATATAATTTAATTTTTAATTTTAATTTTTTTTTGTACATTGTAATATAATTTATTAATTTATAATTTATAATTTTTATTAGAATTTTATTTGTTCCTCATTTTTTAATAATAATTAATTTTGAGTTATTTTTAATAAATAATGCATTTTTTGAAACGTCATTTTTTGATATTTTTAGGGCATTTTTTAGAGTTTTTAGGTCATAAATGCATTTCTTGAAAGAGCATTTTTTTGATATTTTTAGGGCATTTAAATCCGAGCCCTAATTATAATATATTTGAGATACATTCCAGTGTATGCTTTAGCGATTCGTTTTTTCGTATGTAATTATATAATAAGAAACTGTATAATATTTTTATGTATGATTATATGTATGTATGTATGTATGTATGTATGTATGTATGTATGTATGTATGTATGGTAATGTATGTATTATATTGAGCGTGTCGGTATTGTAAATATTATTATATAAGTTTGGAATGTAAAACTGATGAGGACTACATGGTATCGTGTGTTTGATAGTATATTATAGTTTGTAAGTGTATGGTCATATCATATTTATATGTATAAATATACCTAAGTATCGTATATATTATGTAAATTGTATAATATGTTCACGAGGTTGTGATAATGATGTGTATATAATTGTTTGGATATAAATGAACCTATGTACCTATATATAATGTAAACTATATTATAATATATTTGAGATACATTTCGGCTCTAGCGAGATGTTTATTCGTATGGGTTTATAATCTGAAAATGGTATAATATTTTTAGATATGTGTTATGTTGTAGGTAACTTATATTATATTATGAGCATGTATGTATGTATGATATACTTGATACAATGTACATCAGAATATTATATATTTTTATTTTTAAAGGGAAAATAGGAGGGGAGGTAATGTATTTGATTAGGAAGGGGTAAAATATATATCAGACAAGTGTTCGAAATAGTCGATAAAAATGTATATCAGAATATTATATTTTTTTTTAAAGGTTTGAAACTGTAACTACTTAATTCCACTTTATTTGAATACCAAACAATGTGTGCATTTATTTTTTTAGTGTAAAATATTTAAAAGTAAGTCAAATCAAAGGTATTTAATAACTAATATATTGTATAGCTTACTACAATTTTAAAATATTTTACACCGAAAAAATTAATGTACCTACTTATTTTGTATTCAAATATTATAGTGGAATTAAGTTGTTAAAATGAGATGAAATCAATATGTTATTAGATGATGAGTTCAGTACTTACCTAATAACAAATTTCCACTCCAGTCACATATATACAAAAAATCATTTCTTCAGTTTCAATGTTTTAGGTTCAATAACCTCGCTTTCCTCTACAACTGCTGTGAACAACTCGTTGTCGGTACTAATTGATTTCTCGTATTCCGGCAACTGGTAATGAAATGCAGGTACCCTTAATGAAGTCTCTGTTACTATTGGTGCGCTTATACTTTCCGTGATCGTTTCGTTTGCTATGGCCACATCCGCGGGCATTTTGATATTGCCTTCTTTGATCCAGGGATGTTGCAAAGCGGTCTTGATTTTTGTGCGCTGCAGAAAATTAGGCTCCAAGAACGTGTTAGTCAAATCAATCAGCGTTTTACTTCGACCCAACGACCTTCGAAATGCAAAATGTTTATCCATCTGCAGATTAGGGTAAAACTTCATCAAAATAGTGTGCTATAATGTGTAGGCTACTATAGGGTATGACGTGTTATTACAAAAATACATTTCTATAGCCTTCTTTAATAATTATTAATATTATATGCAATACATTTTTCAAAAATATTTTCTAATGATGAAATTGAAATATTATATTTTCGATTGTCATTGAAAAATGAAACTGATAATTAGTTTAAATTTTGTTTAGTACCTATCTGTATTATATAGGTACGTGTATAAGTATATATTAAGCCAAATGTATATTAAACTTTAAAGTATTGACATTTTGTATTGATTAACAGCTGTGCTAGATTGTTGTGGAATACATTTTTTTTAACTTTATACGTGTAATATGATATACTACGGAAGATATTCAGAAACGAAATGTCATAAACATTACAAAATTATCCTGTCGTCAACGATTCCCATACTGGTTTTTTGTCTCACTTCATTCGATTCAGCGCAGAACATTGGTTTACTATTATTTTATACTTAAAGGCCACAATATTTTTGAATTCAAAAACTATTCTAAACAATGGCCTGCTCATTTAAGTGTTATTAACATATTTGCTTGCCCACTAACATATTTTATTCTCATCTTACCTACTCGTCAATTTTTTAAATAACTTGTTGAAAGAAAATAAGAAATTTGAAAAAAAAAATGGTTTGGAATACGAATTGTGTTCAATTCATAATTTAAAATGGTGTTATACTTTTTTACTATTTATTTATATATATATTTATCTCGAGTGTTCAACTACCCCAAAAAGTTTTCCAGAAAAAATAACATTACTGTAAAACCTTAAACCAATCACTTTGATAACAATATTATACTATATTATAAAAGAACCATAAAATGAAATATAAATTCGTTTTATTTGTTTGTGTAACCACAAACGACGTTTGGTGATATAAATAATTATTGCCTATGTCAGTTGGAAAGGATTTTTATTTGGACTGACAATTTTTCTATAATACAGGCTATTAACTAGGATCCTGATTCCTGGATCACCCGTATGTTTAGTATGCTGATGCCATGAATATAATATACAATTTTTATTTTTATGTATAAATTATAATTTTGATATATAGTTACGTCCAGACGTCTAGTAGTGGATTCACCTTATAGGGGGGGGGAGGGATTTGAAATCTGTGATTATAATTTATAAACACTATGAACTTCTATACAGATTTCTGAATGAAATGTTTATATTTTATAGGTAGTTTATGATGTCTAGAGTGGCCATAGACCCTATGCCCCCCCCCCTGAACGCCGTGCCTGGTTACATTTTATTTAATACCATACGTTCAAAGAAAACTGAAAATGTAGAAAGTGCTGTAACCCCCTCACTCATAGGTCCCCTTACAGCTATATAACTCTACTTGATACCGGAATTGGATCGTGGGCACAACTAGATTGTTATTTGACATACAGATATTTAAATCACATTTCAATGATGTCAATGATCATTTAGTGCGACCTTAAACGGACTAAATTAAGATTTCTGAAGGGCACCCCGTTAATTGTATATACTTATAAGGAAAGTTTATTATTTATTGTAATATTTCTAAGATCCCAGAAATTAAAAAAGGGTTTAAATTTGGTATGCACTATACATAATATGTGTATATGTTTTGATAATATGCATTCCTTTACATATTTTTCTTGATACTATTATTAAAATCATATGATTTCTGTTCGAATGAAAATATTGTTTATTTATAATTCATATTTATATTATCTATACATTTTTAATGAGAGCAAGTTAAAGTGTACGCAACATTAAACAAGTTTCCGTTAAATCATCTACGGACTATTTAGTTTTAGCGGTCAACACTGTATTTGACAGTAAAGTAATGTAAAACCACCATTGTTACGTCATACTTGTAAAAACCATAGAGTAACAAATATGTTAACAAATATAGATCGCAAACAAAATAATAAGCAATGTCGAATGTACATGCATTTATAACCATATCTAATATATAACACTATGTTTTTCTAAAAATATATGCATCGACCCACGATAAAATGTGAATACCTAATTTGTTTTATTCGGATTCTACGATAATTTATAAGTTGTAAATCACCAGGGGTGGCAGACGATGTTTTACAATAAATCTAAAAACTTACCTATAATAACAACTTTTGAGTTTTTTTTTAAACGATGTATAATATAATATGTGTATAGCAGGTTTGATCGAAATTGGTTATTTTCGTAAGTTGTAGTTATTTTAGTTATATTAGTTATAAACAAAATTATTCGGTTATATTAATACAATTTGCTAATAATTTTACAATTCTGATTTTAATCGACAACTTATATTTTTACTTTTTTTAAACTTTTTTTATTTGTTTATTTAACTTGTAAGTATCTTGAAAGTTCTACAACATATTAAATGATTATTTTTCAGAGCTTGTATTTTAAAATACACAATATTACATCCATTTAAAGTATGTACCTTTACTTATAGACAGGACTTGAAACTGATACTATTTATTTCAATTTCGTTTTCGGTTTCGGTTTCAATATCGATTTTGGTTTTTAACTGGTTTAACCGGTATTCAAAATCGGTATTGAATATCGATTTCAAGCTCAGTTATAGATTTTGAGAGTACCTAGATGGTTAGGAATGGATTAGTTTTAAAATGCAGTTTTGTTTTTTTGTTATCGTGTGTTAAGTTAAATAGTGATACTTCCACTTTAGTTACTTACTCTGTTATAACTTATATATAAGCTTTGAATTTCTAACTATATTCTATAAAATAATATAAAACTAGAAGATATGGCTATAGCGCTAAATATAAAATACAAAATATATATAATATTTAATCAAGTAAAATTTGACATATCATAAAATGCTAATATATATTAATATTGATTACTATAATTCTGAAATAATCATAGCCTAAAATATACCTCTAAATCTGTTAAAAATTACTTTTATCCTCGCTCCTTGGTACATTAAGGTTTATGAAACTACTTGTTCTAATTAATATTTGTTTAAAAAAACACGGTTGTTCTCGATTAAAAAAAAAAATAAGTTTGTATTGCCACTGTACACTTGTTATTATGCATATACCTACTTACAAATCTCAAGGTTGAAATAAATATTTTTAGTTAAACGATACAATATATTAGTTGTTATAATATTATAATATAATTTTGTTTTTCATCTTCTAATATTCCTCTTATTTCAAGGTAACTTTTTAAACAGTGATCATCATCTGCTGCTGAGTACCACCGCATAAATAATAATAATATTTTACTCCGTGATATATTATATTATTATTACCGTTTCCGCTCCACGCCGCCACCCATAGACCTATTAACTACTATTATATATGTTAGGTTAGAGAGCCTATAGCTCTATGTGTAGGCTCTCTATGGTATAATATATTGGCCAATAATAGAGAGTCTTTATTATCTAGGCTCTCTAGCCAATAATATAAGTAGATGTTTTTCAACGAATAAAAATATTATCCAGGACAGGTCTTATTCCATTACTTTTTTAATTATTCGAAATAGTATTCGAATATTTGTATTCATTGCAGCGCATTACGACTAACAACTAGACTGCAACTCACCTGTTTCCTGTGTATGTCTTTCCTGTGTCTGTTCCGGAACGGCGGCACGTTGTTGCACATTATGAACAGCACGACGCCGATCGCCCACACGTCCACGGCCACCGGGTTGTAAGGTCGCTTGCCGTACAGGAGCTCGGGCGCCGAGTAGGTCATCGTGCAGCACACCGTGTTCGCCTCAGGATTTCGTCCTCGGTCCACGAACCTGGCGAACCCGAAGTCGGCTATCCGCAAGTTGTATCTACTGGTCAACAGTATATTCTCGCACTTCAGGTCCCTGTGCACCACCCCGACGCCGTGCATGTACGAGAACGCCCACAGGATCTGCAACAACCACGAGCGGATTTGTGCCTCCGTCAGCTGCATCTTCTGGAGGTACGTGAACAAGTCGCCGTTCTCCGCGTACTCCATATTCATGTAGATCTTGTAGCCGTTCTGGAACACCTGGTACACCTGCACTGGTGGACTTGTTACATAATATTTTACTATTTATACTTTCGAAGTTTGGTAATCCCATTAACATTGTCAATTATATTAAGTAGATACTAAAAAGTGGGTTGTTCGCTGGTCTAATCATAAATACGATTTTTTTTCTCACTAATACATGTTTGAAATATGATTTTCGAATGTTATTACTACATAAGAGAGCAAGTTTAAATTATTTTGATCTATCCAAACTAAACTATATCTATTATATAATATTATAATATTATATTTACTTGTTACTGAGAATATCTGAAATACCTATATAGGTAGTTAATATATTTAAATAGTTCAAACGTAGGTATTACCGATTTATTTTCATTGGGTAGTCAAATAACTATTGAAGTCTAAAGTGTTGAAAATTGAAATGATGGGAATGCGATGATACCACACTTTATCAGTACCACAACTAGGGAAGGGGACTGTGCTGAGCCCCCTGACTAATATTTAGCAACCCAACAATATCACTTCTTGATTTAGATATAAATCCCCTATGGGTTATTTTAAGTTAATAGTTTTGTTATGTGAGCTGTACCCCCTCCCCAGAATGTTAACCCTAGTTGAGCCTATGCACTAGGCTGTACAGTAATAAGTGTATAATATTTTCAACCCATAACATGGCAACAATAAAATGTGAAAGTTTAGCAAAAACGTGGGACTTTTATTTGACTAAAATTATTTCATTAATACTTCTAAGGTCTATAATACCTAATAATAAAACAATGATGGATCAACTAAAAAAGCGTATTAAAAATATTTAATGAGTGACCTATGAGATATTATGATCTGCACCTCATATCATATTATATTGAAATATTAATATAATATAATATTACTTTTTTAACATAATATTTCGAATGACGCATATTATAGACTGCAATCATACAAAATATTCCTAAATCTATTTCGGCTTTTAAAATAACATGAAGATTGAAGGTAGTGACTATGCAGTATATTATAGATAATACATTTTAATATTATTATATTTACCTCAAATTATATGGAAAAATTAAATGTATTACGTTCATATTTGAAATTAAAATTATTTTATTTTTAGTAAAATAAATTATGTTTTCTTGTCTTAAGGGCGCAGTGACCGAATTCAACGAAAACAAATATTATGTTCTATGTAACCTCAGTGTTGTATAAAAAATATTCGGACGTGACAAAAAATAAGATGACTATATTTTTTCATTCTATAAAATAGTGCTTTTTAAATCGATAGCACTAAAATTGTTTTGATAAAATGTTTACTGTAAGCTATATATAGGATTTCGTAAAGTGTTACTACGAGCTTAACTTAAAACTAAAAATGTTTACTTTGAAGTGTTTTTCGCCATTGCTTATTGTGCAGCAGGTCTATTTCTAACTAGAGCACTTCATGTTTGCAAATTACTTTGTCCAATAATGTGTCCCATTTGAGAATGATAAAGTTATTTGGTGGAATTTAATAACAACTATCTATCTTTTTGGTGAACACTAGCGTGGGTTGGCTATCCGAAAAGGCTAAATAAACTTTATGATTCACCATACAAACTACCTACATACACAATGATTCAAAGTTATCTCAATTCTCAACCAAACGAATGGATATTTTAAATATTACCACCGAGTACAGTGGAACGCATTTTCATCACATACATAAAACAAAAATGTTAATAATTAAAAATAAGTATGTAACACTCTCATTTCGGGTACTATAAATAAGGAAAAAAAAAGGAAAAGAAGAGCTTATGATTTAGAAAATGATAATATTTTGGTGTGGATCCATTTTGGAAATATTAAATGTATGTTAAATAATATCTATATATATATATATATATAACATAAATACATTTAAAATCCATATAAATAATATTGTTATATCGAGTTGCATGAAAAATGTATTAATTATTTAATGCTTCAATATAATTGAATATAATATTAATATAATATATGGGCCAATAAGTCATGTTTAAGTGACACTCACTAATGATTCGTTAAATGTCTAGTAATTGTTCATGAAACCTATTGCAGAATTGATATTACTATCTATAATTATGTATTATGATGTACAAATATTTATATAATAGTATTTTTCTGTAAAAATGTAGCTCCCTGCCGTTTCAGATTTCTATATCCGCGATTGGTGTTGGCGTGTTGCAGTACCTACTAATATCATTAGGTATACCGTATACCTACCTTTATTATTGTTATTATCAGGACTTTTCACCCGAATGATTTACTTGGGTTTTGGGTGCTGCATGTATTCGGTTGTTCATACACCAGAATAAAAGATTTAAACAGACCTCGGACGTTTCGGTGTTTAAAACGTTAATATTCGGGTTAATAACTTAATATTGGTCAATACGGGCGTTTAGTAGCTGAGTAAAATAATTATTTATAGTTATTTTTATAAGAAATTTTTTTAAAAATTTTAATTGCTTAACAAAATGTCATAATATTTTTATTATTAAACAAATAATTAACTACAAATTCGAACTAACCAAATAAAATATGTACAAAATGAGATATCACTTAAAAATTGTAAAATAAAAAATGATTCGGGTTTCGGGTTAACCAGAATGTTTTATTCGGATTTTGGTTAATTCTTATGTTTTGAAAATAGAATCTTTCGGGTTATATGGATTTCGGGTGTTTGATTTTTAAGGATTTTTAAGGGTGTTACGGGTTCTGGTTATTTCGGGTGCAAGGCCCTGGTTATCATTCTAAATCGATGTACATCAATACACCCCTGACGTAAAATATCCACCTATTTCATAATATTAAACTTGCCTGCACTATATACGGATGTCTGAGTTTGAGCATCACGTCTAGTTCACGGGGTAAGAACTTTTCCACAAACTTAGTGGAAACGCGGTTCTTGTTGATCACTTTTGTCGCGATCAGTTTGCCTGAATCGTTCTCGGTGTCTCCAAATATGGCCAGGTAAACCTTGGAAAAAGACCCCTCGCCGATCTTTTTCCATATGTGGAGGCTCCGGTGTGCCAAAAACGACGAGTCTGATGTAGCTAACATCAGGTCCGGTTAAAATATTGATTGAGTTTTGACGAGAGAAATTTAGGTATAGGATAATATGATAAAATGATAAAAATGGGTTGTAGATTTTTTTTATATATTTTATTAAAATGGGTTGTGATATTATGAAATGATAAACAAACTGCAGTTGTTATGTATGTGCCTTGATTACAAACTAGATTTTTTACAACCATTTGTCAACCCATAGCATGTTTTTAATATATTATAATATTGTAATACTTTTAAGTACAACACGTGTCATATATTATGTATTTATGTGTGTACAATGCTATGAGGCCTATGACGTGTGTTATACTGTTATGTACTTATGTACATTAATGCCGAATGAATAAAATATTTATCAAATGTACCTGTTGTAATATATTTATATTATAATATTGCATTATATTTACAAATTTGTCAAGTGCAGCTATCAGCACAACTGCAATTCATAGCTGATTCAATATGAGCCAATGAAAATCTTCGTAATGTTTGAATTAATTTAACTGATAGTTAGAACTAAAGAGTAATGGTAATACTGTAATAATGATTAATTCTAAAATGTTGCAAGACATTGTAATAACTGCCATAAATAAACAACTGTTTTTTTCCTTTTTTAATAATGGCTTCATTTTTATTGTTAGATGTTCAGATATCGATGTGGTTAAGAGCAAGAATATAATATTAATTTTATTGAATACTTATTTTTTTTATCAATAATATATATATTACATAAAATGCTTTCAGCATAATATTTTCAGTAAAATGCATATAGACAAATAGGCATGTAATGCCAATACATTTTTATGCCTCCCGAACGTTCCCTCTCCGCAAATCGCTATCTCATTCCTGCCCGGCATCGTTCTATTTATATTTACGAGGTCTCGGGGAATTGATTTCGGTGTACGATATTATTAGTTATTACTAGAGATCAGGGTTACCTTATGTAAAGTAAAGTACTCAACGTATATAGTACGTATAATAAAATAGTAACGTATATTAGGTATTATTATTTGACTACAACATTAGGTATTACAAATCTTATAAATTATAATAATATATTCAGCATCAATTAATTTTATGATTACTTATAAAATTATAAATGGGGGTTACCGATCGGGCCGTGATGGTCTTGGGTTGCCGATATCCACTGCAGTGGGTTTACTTGGTCTATCTTAACTAGGTATATTATTATGATAAATGCATATTTTGTTAAGTAAAGATATTAGAATTATGTATTTGTTGTTAAACAAACGGAAATTATTACTGAGTAATACGTAATATGAACTATACGTAATGAATTAAACTGGATTTTAAAAGTACCTAATAACAACTTAATAACTACGTATACGTATATGCAGGTACACAATTCATAATGTACAATAATAATATATTTTAATAAAAACCTAATTTAATCGTACTGAGTGTTAACATTTAGTGAAACAATACAAATATTTCTCTTGAATCCTAATAACATATCTGTACTGTTTACACTGTAATAATACATGTTTATTGTTTAAAAGCAAAAATTAATTTAGATACCCACCTTATAAATATATCGGCGAATGTACGACTAAAAATATTTCCAAAGTATAAATTAAAAAAAATAGGGGAAGTATAAAAATCATTAATCGAAGTTCAAGCAAGTAATTTTTGAGTTATTAAACTCTGAGTAAAAAATAATGATAATAATAGCCTGAAGATATGGGGGCAATGATAATTTTGAAATTATTGTAAAGACTAATTATTAAAAATGTATTAATCTATACTAAACTATATTGAACTACTATTAAAAGTAGTAAAACAAATATCATTCATAAAGCATGCTCATCCTAATTTTTTTTATTTAATATTAAATTTGTTTAAATTCTGATTTTTGGAAATTTTAAATATACTTAAAGACGATATTTTAAAACTATTGAGATTTTTTGTACTACAAATAAAAGAGTGTACTGTAGGGATTCAAACCACGCTTCGCTTTTCTTTTTGAAATGAGAATCTGTTAAAATAGTACTTGGTAAAAAAAAACATAATAGTTATACATACACCTGCAGCTGTAGTTATCTGTGTACAATATGAACACTAATGGGCAGTTAATTTGCTTTGATAACCACTAAAACTTTGAAAATAGAATTAACTCGTTGTCCATTATCTATTAAAATATAGATCGTTTAAGTGTATGCATTTTAAATGATTTATTATTATTATTTAAAAATATGTTTCCTATTAACAGTTGTTAAAATTAAAATATGTTTGTACAAATTATGAATGTACACATTAAAGCTAAATGTAATAGGTACCTATTTAATGTTTAAAAGTGGTTATTTTTGTTTTTTTATAATATTTAACTTTAGTTCTTTTTTTTTACTTTGGTTTATTTAAAATAAGAACAAAAATGTTATTTTAATTATAATAGAATATTTAATAAAGCAAAACAAACACTTAACTGTATGTGAATATTATTTACAAAAAATTGGGTATGTGTTATTGTGTTAATGTGACTTCAACAATGATAATATTTCCTTAAAAAATGTTAAGGTTTAGTTAAGAAAATATTCATTTAATTATAATGTCAATCTATATGTACTGTGAATTTTATTGTAAAGTTGAATATTAAATAACTTGTTCTTTGTGAATTGAAATATGTTTGAACTGTATATTTTAAAAAAGTCGTATAAAAAAAAATTACTATCTTATTTGAGAGTGTGTCAACAAAAATTGTAATACAATCAATGTGTGTGTGTACAATTTTTTAATGAAAGTTTACCTATACTACAAACTAGGTATCACTAAATATTCAGGTAAAACTGTGAAAGTTAATTAAACAATTTAAAATTAAATAGGTATGTGTCTTTTATTACCAAAATACCAACAATTCAATATTTTACACTGTGTTATTTTTATTTTATTATAGCTTATAGCACTATTCCTACTCCTTTGACATATATATTTTGTTATTTAAAATTTAAGATAATCATAAAATATATATATATTTACATTGTTACATGCCAACTGTTTGCTCAAACAACTTCATAACTTTAACATTATTCTAAATTTCTTTATTAATAATAGTTAATTTAGTTTTAGTAATTTCACTTATATATATAGTTTTTACAAGTATATGCTGGGAATTTGGTGATAATCGTCATATATACATCAAATATTTATCTATATATACATAATAATCAAAGTAAATTTTAATCCTTTGACCTTTCTATTTACATTTTTAAAAGTATTATGCATATTTTTTGCCAATTTTTCTTACTCCATCTTTCTCCTTACAGTGTTATAAAAATTAAAGCTAAATGTAATAGGTACCTATTTGACGTTTAAAAGTGGTAATTTTTGTTTTTAATAATATTTAACTTTAGTTCTTTTTTTTTACTTTGGTTTATTTAAAATAAGAACAAAAAATGTTATTTTAATTATAATTTATGTTATCAGTGGCGTATTTTCAAAGATTTTTTGCAAAGGATCATAAATTCACTTTAATCTATTTTCATTATAATACATTTACAAAATATATAGCTATCCATGACTAATATTAGAGTTGTTAATATTTTAGCTCTTGATATTATTATTGTTATAATTTTGTATATATTTTATACAAAAATTTTTATTTTATATATATTTTTTTGTTAATTTCGAAAAACTCCAGGGGACAACCTCAAGTGGGTGTGAGGTTGGTCCAAGAAATAGTACAAGACCCACAAAACGAATTTTCCACATCACAACTCGATTGATAGATAATCATATTACGTTAAAATCACCCTGTTTCAATACTAAATACTAGATAAATAAATACTATATAATAAATACTATATCTAAATACTGATTCCTTTTTGACACTGTTCATCCCGCCCCTTGTATTAGTATTTTAAAATGTATAATCTATTTAGTATAATTTAGACAATTTTATAGTACTAAATTATAATATTAGTATTTAATTAATATTTATATATGAATATATTCTAAAATGTATGGTCTATATTGTGTATAAAATGATTATAGTTGTATAATTCAAAATTAAAGTGATGCATAACTACTTTTGGTAATAATTGGACTAGAGCTCCCTATTTCACGTGTACACGCTTTCACGTATTCAAGTAAAATTAACATCCGTATTTATAAAACTTAAAAAATCCGTGTACACGTGTTATTGTTCACGTGTACATGTATATTCATATATTCAAGTATTATAGTGTTTAATATGTACTTTATTATGTATACAATTTACTTATAAAGATATATAGAACATTGAACAAAAGCACAGTTAATAAGTGAACTTAGAAATGTTCATTCAGTTATTTTTTGTTGTTGTTAAAATCACTATCAAGCACTATAACTATTACAGAATGGGGGGCGGAGTGGCCGAGCGGACTAAGGCGCCGGCCGTGAAGCAGCTGACCCGAGTTCGATCCCTTGGCCATGGGTGGCATTTTTCTTCCGACAAGTCAAGGTGTCCGGAGCACAAGTGCCGCCATCCCCAACCGGGTGCCAAATCAAAAATTTTGCCAAACACAACACACACGTGTAAAAACCCTACTATTAGAAAACCTACTACCTACAATCATAAAACCCCACAATCAGCTAATGGCCATAGTCGCCGGGTTTAAAAGATCAATAAAAAAAAAAAAATATATTACAGAATTATTATGACTTTGTACAGTTCAAAATTAAAATATATAAATGTAGGTAGGTAACTACTTTTCATAATATTTTATAACATTTTTACTTTTCATTTTTTAATAGTGAAAATAAAATAATATAATCTAATTTTTTTTGAAAATGTCAACGCCATTTTGTAAATCTGGTTTTTAGAAAACTTTTGGTTTTAAAAACAATTATTTAGCAAAATAACAAAAATAGTGCTTTATACAAAAAAAAAAAAAAAACTATGTATTTAAAATGTCTAAGTTCACTTATTATGTGTACCCAAATATTACCAAAAGTGGCTAAATTCTCCTCCTATTTCTCTGTTGAAAACATAGACTAGACTG